AGCTGTTTTTATTACTGTAGCTCTATAGTAGAGCTTGAGGTCAGGGATCTTGATGCCTCCAGAGGTTGTTTTATTGTACAGGATTCTTTTGGCTATCCTGGGTTTTTTTGTATTTCCATATGAAGTTGAGTGTTATTCTTTCCAGATCTGTGAACAATTGTGTTGGTATTTTGATGGGGATTGCACTGAATCTGTAATTTGCTTTTGGTAAGATTGCCATTTTACTATGTTAATCCTGCCTATCCATGAGCATGGGAGATCTTTCCATTTTCTGAGATCTTCTTCAATTTCTTTTTTCAGGGACTTAAAGTTCTTGTCATATAGGTCCTTCACTTGCTTGGTTAGAGTTACCCCAAGGTATTTTATATCATTTGTGGCTATTGTAAAGGGTGATGTATCTTTGATTTCCTTCTCAGCCTGTTTGTCAATTTGTATATAGGAGGGCTATTGATTTTTTTGAGTTGATCTTGTATCCTGCTATGTTGCTGAAGGTGTTTATAAGTTGTATCAGTTCCTTGGTTGAATCTTTGGGGTCACTCAAATATACTATCTTGTTATCTGCAAATAGGGAAAGCTTGACTTCTTCCTTTCCAATTTGTATTCCCTTAATCTCCTTATGTTGTCCTATTGCTCTGACTAGAACTTCAAGTACTATATTGAATAAGAATGGGGAGAGTGGACAGCCTTGCCTCATTCCTGATTTTAGTGGAATCACTTTGAGTTTCTCTCCATTTAATTTGATGTCGGCTGCTGGCTTGTTGTAAATTGCCTTCATTATGTTTAGGTATGTTCCCTGTATTCCTGATCTCTCCAAGACCTTTATCATGAAGGAGTGTTGGATTTTGTCAAATGCTGTTTCTGCATCTAGTGAGATGATCATTTGTTTTTTTTTTCCTTTGAGTTTGTTTATATGGTGTATTACATTGACGGACTTTCGTATGTTGAACCACCCTTGCATCCCTGGGATGAAGCCTACTTGTTCATTGTGGATAATTGTTTTGATGTGTTCTTGGAGTCTGTTTGCCTGTATTTTATTGAGTATTTTTGCATCAGTGTTCATGAGGGAGATCGGTCTGTAGTTCTCTTTCTTTGTTGTATCCTTGTTTGGTTAAGGAATTAGGGTAATTTTAGCCTCTTAGAAGGAGTTTGGTAATGTTCCTTCTGTTTCTATTGTGCGGAAAATTTTAAAGAGTATTGGTATTAACTCTTCTTTGAAGATCTGGTAGAATTCTGCGCTGAAACCACCTGGTCCTGGAATTTTTTTGCTTGGGAGACTTTTAATGACTGTTTCTATTTCCTTAGGGGTTATTGGACTATTTAAATAGTTTATCTGCTCTTGATTTAACTTAGGTATGTGGTACCTATCCAGAAAATTATCCATTTCTTTTAGATTTTCCAATTTTGTGGAGTAGAGGTTTTTGAAATATGACTTGATGATTTTCTGGATTTCCTCAGTATTAGTTGTTATGTCTCCCTTTTCATTTCTGATTTTGTTAGTTTGGATGCTCTCTCTCTCTCTGTCTTTTGGTTAGTTTGGATAAGGGCTTGTCTATCTTGTTGATTTTCTCAAAGAACCAGCTCTTTGTTTCATTAATTTTTTGTATTGTTCTCTTTGTTTCTATTTTATTTGATTTCATCTCTCAATTTAATAATTTCCTGGTGTCTATTCTTCCTGGGAGACTTTGCTTCTTTTTGTTCTAGAGCTTTCAGGTGTGCTGTTAAGTCACTAGTGTGAGATTTCTCCAACTTCTTTATGTGGGCATTTAGTGCTATGAATTTCCCTCTTAGAACTGCTTTCATAGTGTCCCATAAGTTTGGATATGTGGTGTGTTCATTTTAATTGATCTGTAGGAAGTCTTTAATTTCTTTCTTTATTTCTTCCTTAACCCTTTGGTGATTCAGCTGAGCATTAATCAGTTTCCCTGAGATTGTAGGTTTTCTGTAGTTTTTGTTGTTGTTGAAATCTAACTTCAAACCATGGTGGTCTGATAGAACAAAGGAGCTTATTCCAATTGTTTTGTATCTGTGAGATTTGCTTTGTGGCCAAGTATGTGGTTGATTTTAGAGAAGGTTCCATGGGCTGCTGAGAAGAAGGTATATTCTTTTTTGTTAGAATGGAATGTTCTATAGATATCGATTAAGTCCATTTGAGTCATGACATCAGTTAAGTCCTTTATTTCTCTGTTAAGTTTCGATTTGGGAGATCTGTCCAGTGGTGAAAGTGGGGTGTTGAAGTCTCCTACTATTAATGTGTGGGGTTTTAGGTGTGGTTTAAGATTTAGTAATGTTTCTTTTACATATGTGGGTGCCCTTGTGTTTGGGGCATAAATGTTCAGAATTGAAACTTCACCTTAGTGGATCTTTCCCTTGATGAGTATGTAATGTCCTTCTTGAACTCTTTTGATTGATTTTAGTTTGAAGTCTATTTTGCTGGCTATTAGGATGGCTACACCCACTTGCTTCTTAAGACCATTTGATTGGAAAGTCTTTTCCCACCCTTTTATTCTTAGGTAGTGTCTATCTTTGAATTTGAGGTGTGTTTCTTGTATGCAGCAGAAAGATGGGTCCTGCTTTGGTATTCATTCTGTTAGCCTGTGTCTTTTTATAGGTGAAATAAGTCCATTGATATTAAGGGATATTAATGACCAGTGATTGTTCATTCCTGTTATTTTTTGGTGGCAGTGTGTGTGTACTTCTCTTCTTTGGGGTTTACTGCTGTGGTGTTATCTATTGCCTGTGTTCTTGAGGGTGTATCTGACTTCCTTAGGTTGGAATTTTCCTTCTAGTGCTTTCTGTAGGGCTGGGTTTGTGGATGAGTATTGTTTAAATCTAGTTTGTCTTGGAATGTCTTGTTCACTCCATCTATGCTGATTGAAAGTTTTGCATGGTCTCTTAGTGTCTGCATTACATCTGTCCAGGTCCTTCTGGCTTTCAAAGTCTCCATTGAGAAATTGGGTGTTATTCTGATGGGTTTGCCTTCATAAGTCACTTGGCCTTTTTCCTTTGCTGCTCTTAATGTTCTTCCTTTATTCTGTACATTTAGTTGTTTAATTATTATGTTGCAAGGGGACTTTTTTTTGGGGGGGTCTAGTCTGTTTGGTGTTCTATAGGCTTCTTGTATCTTCATAGGTATTTCCTTCTTTAATTTGGAAAGGTTTTCTTCTATGATTTTGTTGAATATATTTTCTGTTCCTTTGAGTTGGTATTCTTCTCCTTTCTCTATCCCTATTATTCGTAGGTTTGGTTTTTTCATGGTGTCCCAAATTTCTTGGACTTTTTGGCTCATGACTTTGTTGGCCTTAGTGTTTTCTTTGACTGATAAACCTATTTCTTCTACCGTATCTTCAATGCCAGAGATTCTCTCTTCCATCTCTTGCATTCTGTTGGTTATACTTGCATCTGAAGTTCCCGATCGTTTACTCAGATTTTCTATTTCCAGCATTTCCTCTGTTTGTGTCTTCTTCATTTTTTCTTTTTCCCTTTTCAGGTCTTGAACTGTTTCCTTCATCTGTTTCATTGCTTTTTCATGGTTTTCTTTCAGGGACTTATTGTTTTCTTCTTCTTCATTTGTCCTTTTCCCTGTTTTTTTTTATAGCATTCTTTCCATTTTTTGTTTGTCTGTTCCTCCATTTCATTTTTGATTTCTTCTTTATAATCCTCTAGCCTCTTCATGATGTTATTCACAAGGTTGTTTTCTTCTGCTTCCTCCATTTTGTGATGTTCAGATCTAGTTGTTGGAGGAGGGCTAGGTTCTGGTGATGCTGTATTGCACTTTATTTTGTTGTATGTACTTCTGCCTTGATGTCTGCACATCTCCTCATGGATTCGTTCTTAGTCTTATTCGAGCTCTTGGTCCATGCAGAGCTGACAGATTCAGGAAGCAACTCTCTGTTCCAGATGGAAGCTCTGAGCTGGATGGGAGCTGGGGGCTTGTCTCTGAGTCTCACGCTGTGACTGGGATCTCGGGTGGATGGGTGTGGGGGCAGGGCATGGAGATTGCAGGGTCTGCCAGGGGGGTGACTTGGAGAAAGGGAACCTTGGGAGGAGTTCCACCCGATGGCCAGAACCTGGGGCCAAGTTGGGCAGGTCTTCCCTGGAATGGCTGGTGCCTAAGGATGGGACCTAGGGACAGTCCTCCCTGTGTATAATCCCAGGCACTGACCTCTGGTCCAGAGGGGAGATCAGGGCTGGATGGGAGCTAGGGACTGGTCTCTAAGTCTCAGGAAGTGGTTGGGGTCTTAGGCAGTTGGGTATGGGTCAAGGCATGGAGATTGCAAGGTCTGCCAAGGGGGTCTTGGAGGAGGGGAATCTTGGCGGGGTCCCAACTAATGGTCAGAACCTGGGGCTAAGTTGGGCAGGTCTTCCTTGGAATGAGTGGTACCCAGGGATGGGACCTAGGGGCAGGTCTCCCTGGGTATGACCCCAGGCACTCACCACTGGTCAGATGGTAGCCCAGGGCAGGAAGGATGCTGGGGGCTGGTCTCTGGATTATTTCTTAATATCAGATAATAGTCAAGTTGTCATTAAATGACTGCATGACACGACCCTATAGTATTTAGCAATGTATTATTAGTAATGATTCTACCACGTGTAGGAAGATGAGATGTGAATTGAAACTGATGGTTGTGTGTGCTCTCCACCTGCTGTCTTCAGCAGGGCTTCAGATTTCTCTTTTTCCTCTTTGCCAGGCAGGAGCTACAGAGACTGACTTAGTGGGCCCAAGTGTTTGCATAGACTCCATGCAGTTAGTAGCTTCCTTGAGCTGTTACCAAGGGCTCCTCTCTGTTCATTCTTATCCTGTAAAGAGCTTCTTCTAAAGTAAGTGTGGAAATTTTATGAATGACTTTCTGGCAAGTCTGGCTCAGAGGACATGTGGGATCCTGGGAAGCAGGATCTTTCAGAGAGGTCACTGCATATCCCAGAATCACCAGAGACTGCATATGTCAGCTGAAACTGGAGGGTAAGGTGCATGTAGGGTTTCTGCAGGAGCCTATATCACAATACTGGGTGTTTGGCGGAGGCACCACATTGACTGTCCTAGGTAAGTGACTCTTTCCTCTTCTATTACTATAACCTCTAAGGTTTGAGATGATTTTTGGTTCAGTTGTTTCTCATTCTCCATTCTACTTCATGCTTAAACTTCATTCTAGGTAAATAATCTCTTGCTTCTCTACTTTCTGCCACTTACCTTAGATGGTTCCCTGTTACCTTTCCTCTCTAATCTCAAAGATGGGGGCCAAAAAAGATAAACTGTTAACATGTGTCTGTCATTCTGTTGAGATATGCAGTGCTCTTATAAGTACTCCACTGTGTCATTCTCTATGAGTGTCTATCTTTAATGAACTTTGTGAGGGCTAAAGTGAGTTACTATCTCATGGGGAAGGAAGGTCAGAGGCACAGAAGGAGAAGCAGCTGTTGAATTAGGAGAACATAGAAGACTCAGCGCTGAGGCTGGTGAATATCATGTCAGAGGTCAGGTAAGCTGGAGAGTGGAACTCGGGATTCAGTTCCTAGGACAGGCAGGAGAAAGGATCCCCAAGATCCCATGGAAAGCCATGAACAGAGCAGTAATCAATCTAGAACTCAGGAATTTTAGTAAAGAGAAGAAAGGTAAGGGAGCTCTGGACACAGGAAGTCAAGAGAGAGAGACTAAAGCTGCAGTTGGGAAGGGGTTCCTGGGTCTCTCTAAGACACTGATTAGAAAACAGAGCAACTGCATTCACATAGCTCTGGTCCTGATCCATGAAAATTACACAACTCATCCAGAGAAGGGGATCTCACCTCAGTCTGCAGAATGAGAAACAGTTCACCCAGATCCATGCTACACTGAGCAGAGGCCAGGGACCTACAAGGCACAGATTTGGGTGAAAACAAACTCCTATGTTTAAAGTTTAGACTCAGGACAGGTTTTACCTCAGAACTGTCCTCTGAGTGGGACAGACAGACTGCAGACATATATAAAAAAACAGAAAGAAGGTTACAAGGGCAGAAAAGTGAAGGTCAGGTATCTTTGTTGAATCAGGTCAAAGTGCAGGGAGGTATCAAGGAACTACTGCAGAAATATGGGATACTAATTCCTAAGAACATAGGGAGTATATAGAAGAGATGCATACCCCATTTTATGTACTCTGTGTGTTCAAACACAATCACTAAACTCAGATCACTTAACATGCTACCTCCAGGATTCCTATTGGGAGACTAAGATTCTGAGCTTCTCTTTCTCTACCCTTCAGATCTGTCCAAGGTTACACCTTCAGTCTCCCTGTTTTCACCACCCTCTGAGGAGCTCAAGACCAAAAAGCCCACACTGGTGTGTGTGATGACTGTCTTTTACCCAGGTATTGTGACAGTGACCTGGGAGGCAGATGGTACACCTATCACCCAGGGTGTAGACACCACTAAGTCTTCTAAACAGATTGACAGTTTCTTGTACATGGCTAGCAGCTACCTGACCTTGAGAGAAGAAGAATTGAAATCTATAAGCAGGGTCAGCTGCCTGGTCACTCATGAAGGGGACACTGTGGAGAAGAGCTTGTCAACTACAGTGTGTTTCTAGGCCTTTCAATGTTCATCTCGCCCACAGAGGCTGGGATTTGAATCATGCACAAGTATACCTTACTGCTCTTACCTACCATAGCCCTTTCCCTGCTCCTGAAATGCACAATAAAATTTCCATTCTCAACTTGTAATTCTACTCTAACTCTTTTGTTTTCATGTATATTTCACTGGGATTCACAGTATTGTGGGGATGTCCTGGCACCCTGTACTCTCACCCAGGGTTATAACCCGCATCATCACCCTAGGGAGTACCATCTCCACACAGACACATTTTCCCAGCCCTCCTCTGGAGCTCTGATCAGACCATGAAACTGTACAGTGTGAATGTCATAGACTTCCGTAATCTTACTCTTTAATATACCTAATCATGTGTCCCCTCCATTTCTAACAATCTATTGGTGCTTAGTCATCTTGCCTTTGAATTACAATTTGGAGACTGGGACACTTCTATTATCTGTGATCCCAGTTTCCATTACTCAAGTAAAAATGAATAGATACTATTGGGAAATTGGAAGTTTATTACAATCAACACAAACAAGTAAAATCAGGCTAAAGATAGCGCATATGTGGGGTTCATGAAGGTTCCAGTATGGTTGCAGTCAGCTTTGATGTGAATATGAACTAAGGCAAACAAGACATGATTTCCAGCCCAAATGTTAACAAAGGCATTCAGTGCTGTATGTGAGAGACTATGACAAGTCTCCACTTCAGAACTTGATTCTGGGATTTGTCATACAACATCAGTGCTGAAGGCTCCAGGCATGACTAAATATCTGGGTACCCTACAGAGAACAAGACTGTCCCTAGAATCCCCATCCAACCAGGTCTCATTCTTTCCCTAGCTCAAGGCATAATAGTTCAGGGTGCAGCTGTATCCTGAAGTTATCACAGGCCCCTACTAGGGAACTAGGTCAAACCCCTAGCAATGAAGACCCTGTTCTATATTTCCCAGGACTTAGGGACCCATAACCAGGGTCTGTACTAAGTTTACTGTTGAGGAATCAGCCTGGTGACATGGCCTTAAGGATTAGGGAGTAGTCAAAACAATGGTGTGAGCAGAAATAAGGCAAAGCTACTAGATCCTAGCCACACCAATTCAAACCTTAGTTTCTGCATTAAGAGGGTATTCAGGGGATTAGGTTGTACAGCAAATGACTTAGTTCATTGTAGGTAGAGTTTTCCTGCCTGGCCCACAGTCAGGGCAAATCTCTCTCACCTGCCAGTCCCACAGCCGTCAGACCCGACCAAGTAAACACAGAGACTTGTATTGGTTTCAAACTGTATGGCCATGGCAGGCTTCTTGCTAACTGTTCTTTCAGCTTAAATTAATCCATTTCTATAAGTCTGTACCTTGCCACGTGACTCGTGGCTTACCGGCGTCTTCACATGCTGTTTCTCATCGTGGCGGCTGGCAGTGTCTCTCTGACTCAGCCTTCCACTTCCCAGCTTTATTCTCCTCCTTGTCCCGCCTACACTTCCTGCCTAGCCAATGGCCAATCAGTGTTTTAATTATTGACTAATCAGCAACACATTTGACATACAGAACATCCCACAGCACTTCCCCCCTTTTTTTTTTTAAAAAAAAGGAAGGTTTTAACCTTAACAAAGTAAAATTACATATAATTTGGGAATTTGGGCGTAGCTTCTCTTACTACTTCCTGCTGGAGGGGGGCGCTGTATCTTATGGGGATACAAAGAAAATTTTAGGATCATGGAAAAGTCCATGAGGGTGTATCGTCTGAGCCAGTTGCCTTCAAACCATTCTGGATGTTGAATCATCTGGGCCATGGTGTCATCGGAGACCTTTCAGGGGGTCTTGGCTGGTCAAACCTGATGTATCTTAATCTGGAACAAATCCATAGCCTCTGGCTTTCTGTGGAAACAAAAGAGACTCTTTTCCAAAGCAACATATCCTTATATCCAAATTTTGAAGTCAAGGTACCTTTAAAGTATACATTTTGACATAACTCAACAGCTTTTACAATCAAATGTTTTTCTGCAGTTAAAAGTCCCAAAGACAACACAATCCAGATTCTCTGTGTAATACTCATCTTTACGTGGCTTATTTTTTATATTAATATTACTGTCTCTTTAAAGACTTTATTTTTAAAACTATGTATTTGTTTATATAACTTTATATATCACCTTTTTTGTCTCTTTCAAGCCTACGTATATTTTACACACACTGTAAACTATTACATCTGAATCTGTCTTATTGTGAATCTGTTGCTTTAAACTGCAGCAGCTGTGGCTGCTGGCTCCGCCCACCTCAGCTTCCCAACATGGCTATGTTTACCACCAGCTCTGGGAGCTATGTGGGTCTATGCTTTTATCCAAACAGCGTGTAGTCCAGAAACCTCCCCTTTTGCTCTGCACCAGCAAAGGCTAAATCCACCACGCAGCTCAAAGTGCCACTTGCAAAGGCCTCATTCCCGCCATAGGCAGGTCGAGCACGCACGCTAGGAACCCACCAGTAGCTCAAACCAGCAACTGCCGCTCATTTGAGAGAGACAATTAGGAACTGTTTTTAGCTCCGTTTTAGAATCTTTTCTCAGGTTTTTAGGTGGAAACTCTTGCCCCACGTTGGGCGCCATTTGTAGGTAGAGTTTTCCTGCCTGGCCCACAGTCAGGGCAAATCTCTCTCACCTGCCAGTCCCACAGCCGTCAGACCCGACCAAGTAAACACAGAGACTTGTATTGGTTTCAAACTGTATGGCCATGGCAGGCTTCTTGCTAACTGTTCTTTCAGCTTAAATTAATCCATTTCTATAAGTCTGTACCTTGCCACGTGACTCGTGGCTTACCGGCGTCTTCACATGCTGTTTCTCATCGTGGCGGCTGGCAGTGTCTCTCTGACTCAGCCTTCCACTTCCCAGCTTTATTCTCCTCCTTGTCCCGCCTACACTTCCTGCCTAGCCAATGGCCAATCAGTGTTTTAATTATTGACTAATCAGCAACACATTTGACATACAGAACATCCCACAGCACTTCATGGTGGTGATTCAAAGTTGAAGTTGTGTCCTTGGCCATATTGGAGTCAATGCCAGCTCCACCCTCACCCCCTAGCTGCTGCCTGGGGAAATACATTTTCATCACTTTGTTGTAACATTGCAAGCACAGAGTTTAACTCATTCTCTGGGGACACACCCATCATCACATAGGCTTGCCTCACATCACTTATCACAGGATTCCTATTATTTTATTTGAATATGACCCCTAACAACTTCTCCCCTTTTGGTGTTCCTGATATTTGAATTTTCTCTTCTTTATGATGTTTTAAAGACTTAATAGAGACACAAAACTGTGATCTCAGTAGACTAGTCCTAAGTGACCAACGGTTAGATGTCTTTTGTTTGTCAATATGGCAGAGCATGATTTTTGAATTCAACATTGGCTTATGCCCAGACTACTGGTGGGATATCAGAGGGTAGGAGGCTGTATACTGGTGAATCACATGGGTTCAGTTTTTCCCCAGTCTTGGCAGGAACACTCCAACAGAGTAATGGAAGTGACTGGACTGAGGATATCAAAATATTGAAGAGAAAATGAGAAGGGGACAAAGAAGTGCTTCCCATGAGAAAACAGGCCCTTTTACCTTTCCCAGGACAAGCTTGACACCTTGACTGCCATGTAGCCTGTGATTCCTAAGTCAAAAAGTGGGCATATCTATATCCTACACCTGGACTTCTTGGGGGCAGGGGAGGTCCTGATAAGAACTAGTGACATTGAAGGGTTGAGAGAAGAAACTGTCCTGGTATGACAGATATCCCCAGAGCCTTCAGGATGACATTTGAACAGGATCAGTCCCAGAAGAATATAAATCTTGATATATGAAAACTTCTGGGATCAAGGTCTATGGCCTGTCAAGTATTCTAAAAATTCAGCACAGAAACTGCACAGGTTCAATCCAGAAAGGGTCCCAGCACTGATAGGAGAAAACGAACATGATCTACCGTATCTAACAAAAAAAGCTATCTCCGGTTGACAACTGCTTGCAAAGAAGAAAGTAATTTTCACCAATGAAGTCTCACTGGAGGGTATATAAACCTCATGCAAGGCTTGGCCTTGTGTCCAGCAGTAGATGGCCAACACGAAACAAACTCACTGGTGATTTTGAGGATATATTTTCTCATATTGATTTTGTTATTCTTTATCTCACAGGTCCTTTGCTTTGTTTGTGTATTATGGTTTCTGATTATGTGTTTTTATGATTTTGTGTGTGTTGTAGTTTTGAATTGATTTCTTTAAAAAGTTCAGTTTTTTATTTGCCTGTTTGTTTTCTGAAGAGAGAAGAGGGAGAGAGAGAGAGAGAGAGAGAGAGAGAGAGAGAGAGAGAGAGAGAGAGAGAAGTTTAGAGGTGAATGGGTGTGGAGATGAGGATCTGAGAGGAGATGGGGGAAGGGAAATGTACAGATGATTACCCTAATGTTTTCCTTTTAAACTTTAGTAGGCTGTCCACAAGCTTCTGTTGTGCCTGCTCTTCAATCCTTTAAGCAATAAGACTAAGAACCCTGAGAGGGGATGGCAATCTCCCAATGTCATATGGCTCTGCTGGGACTCCTCAGTATTTCTGGTAACAATACTTTTCTGTCTTTTAATTCTCTAATTGGCACAGAAAATGAACCTGTGTCTGCACCTCTGGACAGCATCAGTGTCTTTTCCAACAACTCTTCTGTGAAATCCCTAAGAACCAGATATTCCAAAGATTGTGTATGAGGTCCTCTGTGAGGTGATCTAGGGACATTGCATTCCTTCAGTCAAGGCTTAGAGACACAAGCACAGAAACATGATGCATGGTTACCTGGCCAAGGTCACTTAGGGGCTTAAAAAGTCACATTGTCATTGAGGATCACAAACCTATTTGTTTTTCTAGGAAGTCCACAGAAGTCTTCCATACAGCCACCTAGGACTAGTGGCCTTTAAACATTGTGACCTGTGTTCTTTATTTTTCGGACATTCTCAGTTTATACCTGATGTCCTGGCACCATCTATTTCCCCCTGATATTAGGCCTCATGCATAACTCGAGCTTGTTTCACATTGGCAGTCCTCCTGTTCTCCCTTCTTCATTGCTGAGACTAAAAGACAGAAGAAGAAACAGG